TGTTCGTTTACTCTTTTTGTTGTCTTGACGGAACTTTAGTTTAATGAAATTAATAGAGTAATTTTTAACGAGGCTAGTATTACCTTTTCAAAAATATTGTTAAATCCCTCAATCTTTAAATCGAATAAAATTATGTTTAAACATACTCGAATTTATTAACACATAGATATTGCAATAGTAACGATGCCATTCGAGTTAATACTCAATTGACAGAAATACATGTCATTCAAATAAATTTTTGAATAGTTTAGAGTGATTATAAAGTAGTATTTGTTCAAAAAAAAATATAGTCGTTGATAATGCACATAAACACTGCAAACGTAATTGTTCAAACTGTGGACTTTTAAGAAGAACAACATTGTTTTTAATTACTAAATTTGCTCAATAGGTTAAATCAATCTTAATTGTTTATAGAATATAAAGATACCATTGAATTATTTTATTATTTTTTATCCTCTATGTGTTTTACTGCTCATATTTAAACTTGGTGGTTATCAATCTCTTTTAATAATAATAATAATAATAATATGCTTCAAATACTAATAATAATGATAATAATTTCATTATCAGTTTAAATTATAGATGAAATTTAGCGACATATTTAATTCATTTGGGCAACTAGTTCCATTTATATATCCATAAATTTTCTAACACTAGTTCACGATTAGGTTTGTAAATATTGAAACCTGCATATCTATTTAATATAGGTTGAAATGATTGTTCATGGTAATATTTATTTCATAAAATATCAAATTAAAAATTGATAGATTACATAATTAAAAAAAGGTAAATGATTGAATATACAAACACATCAATTTCAGGCATTTTTTTCAACTTCTAATCGTAAGATTGGATATATATTTATTAGTGAAAAGTCTTGATCCAGCATTGATATTATAGATTTAAATCTTTATCGACAAATAAATACAACATGCGTGGATGAATAATAAATTCATTTGATACAAATCATAATTAAAAACAGGCCTATAATTATATATTAAGGGATGAATTTATAAAATTTTAAGAGATAAAAATAAAATATTAATAAAAATATAAATAAATATCTAAATTATATTAACAAAATTTAAAAATCATTTATCCCCGATCACCCACTAATTTAACCTTGATCATGATTGCCGTTAGTGCATTAGTTTTCTTCTATAATTCCATTAGTTAATTGGTTACAATAAATAAGCCAAGCCATTTTAGTTAAAATTTACAATTAAATAATGAAAATGATCAAAGGAAGAAACAAAGAGAGGGAGCCGTGCTCATAGTTGTTGGGGAAAAAAACAAATGGAGTTAAAAACAATTCGCGCGATAGATATGGCCCACAATTCCGGAAGTGGGGACAGCCGTTCGATTGTTTATAGTTTTACTTTGATGCTTTGTCCCCACTTTCCCTTTCTTTGTTTTTCTTAACGCCTACCATATCCCAATTCCCAAACATCAAATTGGGAACTCTAGTCCGACACGTGTTTCGTAGTCAATAGACATGCCTTTCTCATCTGTTTGACACCTGTCCATTTGTGTAACTCTTCCTCTAGATCTGTGCACATGTAAATACTAAATGTTTTTGGTTCATAAACAAAAACATTAATTATCATTAATGATTTGTTTTCTAAGTTAATCTTTATTTATTGAATATGATTAATGAGTACACAAATTGTATGTTATATTTTCAACAAAGAAATTTAGATGTAAATATTAGTGTTTAACCTATTTTTAATGTTTATTTAAGAAAAGGAACATTTTTGTAATACAAAAATCCACAGTAGAATCCATATTTGGAACTCAATAAAATCTCACAAGGTCAATCATTAATGATACGTTGAATTTAAGGAACTTGACCCTCATGAAGAAGAATAGAAGAAATGTTGGTCCAGATAGATTTATGTGGTGACATTTGTACATGTACCTAGTATCGTGATCGTCTTTCGGTTGGACTCGAAATTAGGATTCAACTTAAATTATTGGGTTAGAGTCATTACCGATCACTTTAAAAGCATTTAGGTGGATCGGACATCATCTTACATGATATCATTTTACCAAAAACGTGTCGGATTCGGGAGTCGGTTACAGTCAAGGAAGATTAGCATCCTTGTACTGTCCTTTCAGTACCAATTAATTTGTCGATCGTCTTAATAGCGAAAATTAAAATTTAAATTAAAAAAAACTCGATTCAAATTACTTACCTTTGATGGGTTAAAATTTCCTTAAAAATCAAAAAAATAAAAAATAAAAAAATCATAATAATAAATAAAAGGGGAAAAACAATGTTAAATAAAAAAAAGAAGAAGAAGAAGAAGAAAATAAAGATATATTAAATAAATCAAAGTAAAAACGTAAAAAAAATAAATATAAAAAATTAAAATAATAAAATAACGAATCAAAGAAATAAAAGAAAGAAAATAAGATAAAAATAGATCAAATAAAAGAATAAATAAAAAAAACATATTTAAAAAAATAAATTAAAGTTATGGTAAATGTCCAGAATATAATACATATACATATATGCAAGTATATACAAGAGATATAAATAAGGGACCTAGATGTTTTAATTCAAGAGAAAGGGGCCAAACTAAGATTCATTTAAAATTTGAATGATTACATGCATAATATATCTAAAATATTAAGAAACATGACACATGGTCAAAACCCAAAACAAATTAAAAATTGGCTCATCTTTTTTTACCAGAGGTTAACACGAGAGGGGGGGGGGGAGAACAACTGCTTTCTCGTCAAAGAATCAAGGTTTCGCCGTCGATAACCTAACCGTCTAATCATCGAAGGATGAAGAGATTCTGGTGATTTTTTGAACTCCCCGATGACCCTCCGATTAAGGTATGATTCTCCTCCCTTTTGTTTTCTTTCTATCTCTTGTTTCAAATGGATTTCGGGTTTTTTCCCTCTGTTTTTTTTAAATGACTTTTTGTATAATTTGCTTCGAATCTCTGTTGCCCGTGATTCCCCTTCGGTTCCCCTTTGCTTGCGTTTAAATAGCCTAGTAATTGGCTATTTTTAGAGACGTTTTAGAGTCCACTTAGACTCAAATACATTAATTTTTAGTGTTTCAATATGACTCAAATACGTTGGTTTGTTTTATGAATCCTATTAAATCGGGGTTATTGAATAGTGGTAGTTGAGTGTGCTGTATCATGACAAAAAAAAGTGTGTTGACACCTAGAAATCTTGATATTGAAATCTTGATATTGAAAATAAGGAGTTTTCTTCGCACTACATTGATATCAGTTTCAACATTCAACATTTTTAAGCTTTCAACATCTTGGAAAATCTCTGTTAAGATTGAATTGAATGAACAGCTTTGCTATCATTCCTTTTCCCAATAAAATATTATATTTAATTGCAGTGTGTTTTTTCATTAAAAAACCTCAAGGTTTGGTACGAGCTTTAAGAATCGTATCATGAGGTTATCAAGTCACAGCTTAATTTAATTATCTCTTGTACGTATTCATAAATGATACCATCCAACAAATTTATAAATGAAATATAATCTTTGCACCCTTCCAATTTCTAATATAATTTTTAAAATTTTAAATTAGTGACTTAATAATTAAAACTCTCTTCTTTTCCTTCTGAAATTTCACTCTTGATTCCATTTTTTTGTACTATAAATCTTATCTATGTTTTATTTTCTTAATACGAAACTAGTTTCAGCCGTATCACAATCGCATACCATATAAACTTATCCATATACTATTAATTGGATTTGATAAGCGCTGCCGGAAATGAATTTTTACCCATTCTAATATTGCAATTTAGTTTCATCCTAATTATTTTTTTAATAATTACACGAATCAAATTACATCAGTAGTTAAAAACATATATGGTTGTTATTTCTATAAATTTCAAGTTTAAATATGATTTCTACAAGCAGTAGGAATATTTAAGTATTTTATTGTCAAATTATTAAGAGTCTTTTAAAAAATATCATATGTAATCATCTGAGATTAATAAAAAAATATTATTTTAATAATAAAATAAATTTGAAGTATGGGTATATAATTTATAAATAATTTTGTTTAAAATATTTTAAATATAATTTTGTACTCCAAACCCCTCTTTTTAAATTTATACGATTAAAAAGTTTCATTATATTAGTCAAACGGAAATTATTTTATTAGAGAAACTTAGAAAAGAGAAAAAAATGCAAAATGGTAAAGCTAAAAAAATAATAAAGGCATGAAACGGCAGTTGTTGTCGTTTGAAGAGAGGAGAGCCGCCACCGCAACACCTACGTGTAAGTTTGCATGAAAATGTCAACAGTAAATACACTTTTCCATAAGGGCATTATTGTCCTTTAAAAAAAATCACTTGGAAACTCCATCAAGGAATCCTCAAATGGTTTTCCATTAAAATGTTATTACTAAGCACATTATTTTTAATGAAAAAATACTTTTGAAAAGTTGAAAGTATTTTTATATATTTAAAAATTTAAGATGTAATATTTATTATATTTTTAATAAATAAACTTTTTTGTGTAAGGGCTTTGTCTTTTGTGTATATGGGTGGGTATTTTTGTTGTACGACAGTTTAATATAAGGTTAAAAGGAAGCGTGATTATAAATATTAATATTTTTTAATAATTCTGATAGAGAGTTACTTAAAATATTAATTTTGTTATTTAATATGTTAATCTTTTAATGTTTCTGGTTGTAACTGGAAATATTACTTTCTCGATAATATTTCCGGTTGCATAACATTTCCGATTGGAACCAAAAATGTTAAAAAGATTAATATTTTAGATAACGAAATTAACATTTTAAGTAGCGCTCCATCTAAAATGTTAAAATAAAATTAACATTTCCTGTTACGTCTTTTCTTAACCTTATATTAAATTATCTTTACTTAGCTTTATATTAGGTTTTTTTCCTTATATATGTATATATTTGTGGAGTATATTCATTTAATTTTATTTTTCTTTTCTCCAACTCTCATCTCTATCATAAAAAGGAATTCTTTATTTTCTTTCAAATTATAACCGACTCTATATATTTTTCTTTTCTCTTTCTTTCTCTCTTGATGACTATTGAGTTCATGGAGGAGGAAAATTTGATTTGCAAAGGAAGGTGATTTCTCCATTAATGGTGAAATTGAAGAAAATTTCGTCAGGTAGAACAAAAACAGCAAGAGGAAGAAGAAGAAGCTTAGGTTGGCGTTGTGATTTTCATGGCTACCAGTAGAGGCAACATGAACCACTCCATCCAACTACACCATCATCAAAATCAGCCGCAACAACAACAACATCAGCATCAAATACAAGAGCATAATCAACATCATCAAAATCAGATTCCTTATGCAATGATGCAGTCATCTTCCATCCCTGGAAACTTCATGTAATTTCTCTCTTTTCTTTTTGACAGTTTCAAATCAAATAAGAAAGCAAAAAAAAGAAACCCAGAATTCATTCTCTTCACCTCTAGCTACTCTAGCTCTTACACTCCCAAAACTTTTCTCCTCTTTGCTCTTCTTGTGAATGTTAATATTTTTTTCTTATTTTGGAAATAAGCAGAAGCAAAGATACTGGAGCTTATGATTTGGGTGAATTAGATCAAGCCCTTTTTCTCTACCTTGATGGACAAGACCCCTCCACTGTTCAAGACCAAAGACGTGAGTGATCCCCCTTTTCCTTCCTTTTTTTCTCCTGCATCTTCTGTTATGAAGATTCTTATTCGAACAGGTCTTTTTTTTATCACAGAAAAAACATGTTAATGTTTTCAACAGACTCAATCTGCCACAACTTTCTTTTTGACCAGATTCTAGCAGAAACAAACCGAAAAAGCTACTACTATTTTTTTTTCCTTTTTTATTTATTAATTATGTTATTAGTAAGCTTTGCACCATGCCTTGTAACAAACACCTCTATGATCACGAATTTCTTGAAAAAAAAAATTCTCTTTACATGTACTGACAAGTGTATGTTTAGGGAGGGTATGGGTTCTCCCTTCTGTTTTGATAAACAAAGGTACAAAAATGGATGCATGACGATCCCTATGTTTTTCCTTCCATATATCTCTTGTCATTGTCTTCCTTCCCTTTCTTTGATTGGGTCTTTCTTTAATCCCCTTTGCCCTCTCTTTTCATTGGAATCCAAGTTTGAATAAATGAATGTTTATGAGATTTATTAAATGCAGATAACTCGGGAATGAGACCTCCGACGTTGAACATTTTCCCTTCCCAGCCGATGCACGTTGAGCCACCATCATCATCATCAACAAAAGTAAAACCCCTAACATTATTTATATTAATCTGGTAAGTAGAATTCTATTTAAATACTCATTTTCTAAGAGGGTTTGTTTTGTATTTGGTAGACGAGTACAGGATTACTTTCTCCATCAACTAGTGATTCAAAAAGACCATCAGAGCCGTCCATGGAGTTGGCCAACCCCATAACTGATGCCTCAACTTCTGCCCAGAATCAGCCAGATAAAGCTGTCAAGGTATGATTGGCACTGAATATATTTAAATCATGGGATAAATAGAGATCTCATGCATTTCTTACTGAAAAAAAAGAGCTGAGAATCCCATGGTTTTGAATTTGTTTTTGTCTAAATTTGGAATCTTTAGTTACAAGTGCATGTGTTAGTTTAGCAGCGCGAGGAGAATACAAAAGGGCCAACTTCAAGTTCAGAGCAGGAAGGACCAAAAACACCAGACCCTAAGGTGAAATTCTTTGACTCTCTTTTTATAGACATTCACTCTTCTCTCTTTCTTTTTTCTGCCACCATTTTCTTATATTTTTTTTCAGTGAAAAAGATAATGAATCTGTATGTCATTTTTTGGTATCATTTTGGAGCAGACACTGAGAAGACTTGCTCAGAATAGAGAAGCAGCAAGGAAAAGCAGGCTGAGAAAAAAGGTCAGCCTGGCCCCCTACAAATCATTTTCTTCTTCTTTTAAACAAGATTTAATGTACTTTTTTGGTTTTAATCACAGGCTTATGTTCAACAATTAGAATCAAGTAGGATTAGGCTTACCCAACTGGAACAAGAACTTCAAAGAGCCAGAACTCAGGTGATCATTCTCCTTGATCTCCTTTCTTAAAAGAAAATACACCCAAGGTCATGGGTCATTTTTTTTACAACATCCGTCTGTGTATACGTATGAGATCTCTTCTTTGTACGTTTAGGGCATGTTTCTTGGCGGTGGTAATATCTTAGGAGGAGAGCAAGGCCTTCCTGTTGGTATTAACAACATAAGCTCAGGTTTTTACTTCTCATATACATTTTGTTTTCAATACCATTCAACGGATAATTAAAAAAAATATTTTATGTTGCAGACGCTGCAGTGTTTGACATGGAATACGCAAGATGGCTAGAAGAGCACCATCGAATGATGTGCGAGCTTCGAGCGGCGGTTCAAGAGCAGCTACCGGAGGATGATTTGCGGATGTTCGTGGACAACTGTTTAACCCACTTCGACGAGATGGTGAACCTAAAAGGGATGGTGGCGAAAACCGATGTGTTTCACCTGGTGTCTGGCATGTGGAAGACTCCAGCGGAACGATGCTTCATGTGGATCGGTGGATTTCGGCCTTCTCACCTTATCAAGGTATTCTTTAACCCTAAAATGTATATGACGGTAGGGATTCATATAGTATGTGGATAATGAAAAATGAAAAAAAACATAAAATTTAATGCCAAAAGGTGATGAAGAGGTCTTTCTGAAAAAGGAGTAAGCTAGTTGTTTTTGTGATAAAGCTATGTCAGTTTACTACAATTAGTGGGCAAGTAGAGCAAATAGAGAATCGCACGCTTCTCTTCTCAGCCCTCCACTCTGCTTTGTCTTGGTCTTCACGGAAATCATGGATCTTGTTCTCACTTTCATCTCCTTTTTTATTTCTTGTTCATAAATATCCAAGCAACATGGCAAAAAAGCACTTGGTACCAGTTCACAACAAAGTTAAAACGATGCAACATGATGTTTGAAGGTCTGGATTCCTTTCTTTTTTATTGTTTGTTTCAGGTCATAGTGAATCAGATTGATCCATTGACGGAGCAGCAGATAATGGGGATATGTGGGTTGCAGCAATCGACACAAGAAGCCGAACGGGCTCTATCCCAAGGCTTAGAAGCGTCGAATTACTCACTTTCTGATATCATAACATCTGATTCACTCAGCTGCCCTCCTAATATGACTAACTACATGGGCCAAATGGCTATAGCCATGAACAAGCTTTCCACCCTCGAAGGTTTCGTTAGACAAGTATGATTATAAGATAATATATGTTCATGATTAAGATTTACATTTTCAGTAGTGTCACATGCTAACGGGCCCTCCCTTAAATAATGGGCATCAAAAGTATGCTTTTATGTCCCATATGTTTGTGATGTCATGGTCGTAACCGTTGGAGTTAAAAAGGGCTATCTCCTCTGTCTAGCTTTTCTTCAACATATTAGAACACTTCTTCTTTACTCTTTTATATAATAATATCAATATTTTGCTTTCAAAACTTATAGGCAGATAATCTGAGGCACCAAACAATCCATCGGCTGCATCAGATCCTGACGACCCGTCAAGCTGCAAGGTGTTTGCTGGCCATTGCCGAGTACTTCCATCGCCTAAGAGCTCTCAGCTCTCTCTGGTTGGCTCGGCCTCGACAGGAACAATAGGAACCCTAGCTTAAGTCTCACTCTTTGATTATTTATGTCTTCTTTTATGTTTTCCCTAACATTTCTATATATAGATGAATAGATAGACTAAGAATATATACAAATTTGTAAATATAGTTCAAGTTTCTCTTATTATACCTATTTTTCTTCTTTTGGACAAAGAAATTTATAAAAACAAGAAATGCAATGATTTCGCGGCTGTTTCTTACTAATTACAAACACAAAGGTTGACCGGTTAAGAAAAAGAAATAGAAACCAAGGTTTGATCCTTTTCGTATTTGGTTTGGATACTATATACTTCGTTCTTCATGAAATGACACATTATTTAGTTTTGCCAAGAAAAGGGATACCCTCTGTTGAATCATATAGGTGTCATTTGTCATAGCATAGAATATGAGATGTAGTTGTTGAGATTTAGGTTGTGAATCTAGTTTATTTATATTTATATTTTTTGCTTAACGGTCACTTTTGTCCTTATAATATACTCAATTTGTCATTTTCGCTCCTATCAAATTTTCGCATCAATTTAGCTCTCAAAGTTGTTTAATTGCATCATTCTATATCATATCTCTAACTTAAAACCCTAAGTTATAGTTTAGTGTTTATAATTTAAGGTTTTGATTTAAGGGTAGGCATAGAATGATGCAATTGATGTAAAAATTAGATAGTGGCGAAAGTGATAAATTTAGTCAACTACAAGGGTAAAAGTTACCCTTTTTTTATAACAATTGACATGAAAAATTAGTCACTTGAGATCATACAATAATAATACAAGAAAAAAGTTAAAAATTTATCCAAAAACTCAAACAATAGATAGATGCGAACAAATATGATTGCATTAAACAAACTAAAACAGGGGATCAAACTATTAAAAACCATTAACAACTACAAATCAGAGTTGCGAGTCTTGAAAAAATATATACGAATGCAAATCGTGTATCTAAATCCAATTCAATAGTCCAAAGCATGAAAGATCAGCATGATAGCAAATAAATGATATCTTGGCCAGTTGATGCAAAGTCGAATCCACTAATAAGAAAATTAAACGAAAAAGAACTGTCAAACGACTGATAGATAAAGAAAACTGAAAATGTGTCAAAGATAGAAAACATGCCATAAAAATAAAAGAAAACGTGACATAAAGCGAGAGTTATCATAAAATAAAATTAAAAAAATTAAGATGTGATATACAAATTAATGAAAAACAAAGAATATAAGAAATCGACAACCAACACTAAAACTGATGTTATCACCGGTCAAACTATGACGAGGAAAATGAGTGAGTTGTTAGAACCAAACCATAATAAATATGAAAACAACCAGGATCAAATCATCAAGAATAAAATACTATATTTGCAAAAGCATACCTGGATTAATTGATAGGTTGAAATCTTTAAGCATTTCTTTGGTTGAAATCTTCAAAGAATATAGGTTTGCTCTTGCTGTAAAAACTCTCTGACGGGATAAGAGTAATACAAGTTAACATATTTCTTAGGGACCACTACCTCACTATAAATATTAGGTCAATCTATTAAGTATTTATAATTTTTTCCCTCATCAAATTATATATACAACTTATGGTATCTACACTTTAATTCCATGACACTTTAGTACCCATGACACATGTAACATACTTGGTCACTTAATATTGTGTCACACTTTATGATAACATTGTACATTATACATATGTGCCCACAATTATGGATTCTAATCCAACAATCTCCCACTAGGGCAACATATGTTTCCTAATAAATGTACAACCTTATGAGCTCAAAATTTGCTATCATATAATAAGTATTCTATAACAATCTTGTCCATCAATTATATCCATATAGGATCAAAGATATATTCGTTGTATCAATCATGACTAGACCCATCAATGGTCACGTATACAAACACAGTGAAATGACATAGATCAATCATGGTGTGTAACATGGAAACTATATGTAATGTGAACCAAACATGTTTATTTCCAACTGGACCTCTTTAAACATTAATGAGATAATTTTTTTATCAAAACTATAGTGTGGATAAACCAAAATGAATTTTATTTCTACAGAAAATAACCTTATAAATATCCTTAAACTGAAGTAACTAAAATTGTATCTATAACAAACGTGCATTAAATCTACAAACTCTCACTAAAACTGAATATCCTAAAACAATATTACACTCATATGAGTAGTGTGCTTTTGAAAGACCTAGGGTGATAGTTCCTTAGTAAGCACACAATAATGACTTTGTACCAATATGCTCTATATAAACACATAATCACTCTGAATTTTCTTTAACAACCAGAAATTAAATGTCTATGCACTTAGACTTTAAGGTGTTTCTATTGTATATAGAATAAAGGATTGTAACTTAGACTTTAAGGTGTTTCTATTGTATATAAATCCATATTTCAATAAGTTGGAATCCATAAACTTGAGATCTCTTAATTGTTAGACCTATGATATGTCAGCATGTAATAGTTTTGTTCTTAAATGTATCATATGAATCAATTTGGTTGTTATCTAACGATCTATACCCAAAATACTTAAATATCTGCTTAATATCCTAAAATTATATGATATGTCTAAATGCATATAAACCTAAGTTTACATTAAACTCCTCATTTATTTTTATTTGTTTTTTGAATCACAAGGAACTTTTAATACTCGTTTAGTTTCAAAATTATTCTTAGGGAACTGATCAAGACTAAATTTGTTTCTTTATCAATAAGGGGTATTATTTGGCTTACTCCCACTAAACTTATAGTATATACAATTGTCAACCAAATTTATCTCAAAACCAAACAAGATAATCACTTGGTGAAATTTTTTATACAATTAACGAGAGTCATACTTAAACTCATAAATGAATTTTCTTAATTTGTATATCATTAATTTTGTATCATCAAACACAATTTTCCAGTTGCACCGTATAAAACATCTCATCAATGTTACCATTGAGAAACATAATTTTTGAAATCCAACTTATGTAACTCAAGATCAAATATGAGTAATAAATATCATGATTATCCTGAAAGAGTCTTTCAATGAAACCAAAGAGAAAGTCTCTACAAAATTAATGTTTTTTTCATTAGTATATCCTTTAAATACAAGACATGACTTATACCTGTCAACATCACCTTTTGCATCTATTTTGGTTTTAAATATCCATTTACAACCAATTAGTTTTGCACCTTCAGGTAATGAGACAAGTTCTTAAATTTTATTATATTGTATAAAACTTATACTCTTCTTCCATGACTTAATCCACTTATGAGAGTCAGAACTTTAATGACATGAAGAAATTTGATTATATCATCCTTCATCATGCTATTGTCACCCTTATTTCTTAGAGAAATACAACATAATAATTTAAATATTATTTCTCTCATCTCGTGGATCTTCTTAATGAAACTTGTTCTATGAGGTTGTTGAGTTTGTTCTTCCGAAATGATTTCTCATCTTAAATGGAGAGTTGTTCAAAATAACCTTATTGAGATTCTAGATTCACTTATTGACTAAAGACATACACATGGATATAATAAAAAAGTGATAATAGTAATTGAGTTATAATCCAATTCCTCCTTAAAATCAATTCCTTAAACCTCATTTCTCCCTTCAAATTAAACATCCTCAAAAATAATATTATAGATCTCATCTTAAAATATTCTTAATTATGAGATCATAAGACTTATAACCCCTAAATCGCGTAGAATAACCAAAGTAGTTGCTTACTGTTTTAGAATTTAATTTCTCCTAATATGTCCTAACTTATTACAAAAAAGAACAACCTTTTATAAAATATTATTGTCTCTTTTGAGTTGGACCCTTAATAACTACATTCTGGTTTTATTTTTGCCATTATATTTTATATGCATTTTTCAAGTGAGTACTTTCAAACTTATTATGCTTCAACCTTTCTTCCTCTTGCACACAAAGAAAATGAGCTCATTTAAAGTTTATTTCTCCCTTTAAATTGATTAAACGTTATAGGAAGCAATGTTGAAATTATAAGAACAAATCATTCTTTAGAAAAACTCGATCTTAAGTGTCTTAACTCTTGAAGCAATATGAAACATATTCATAATGTACTCCCTCATATTTTGTTGACCATTATACTTTATAGACATCAAAGAAATCAAAAGTGATGTCATTTAAACCTTCTTATTTTTTAGAAAAAAATATTTTTTAAACTCATCAAGAAAACCATTGACCTAAGTAATCTTTTCAAATTATGTGCCCATAAAGGCTTCTAAAATATTGTACTTCATGACCATTAAATTTATGCAATTTGAACAAATTTCACCTCTCAAAATATTTTATACCAATTGAGGATGTTATCCCACATGAAAGGTGAAAATTGTTCTTTCTTTAGTGCAAAGTCTATGTTCATACAACCAAAACCTTATGAAAGTGCATTTTCGTATTCATTGAGATTCATTTTCTTAAGCATGAGTAGAAAAATGTATAATAACATATATTGTGATAGCAATAAATAAATAATTAACTTAATACATAACAAAACATAAATAAAATTTAAGTTCACATCTTAAGTAAATAAATAAAATTAAAATTATGGCTAATTCTCATCTCAAAATACCAAACACTACATCAATATCAAGTCTTTGGACAGTCATATTAACAGTAAACGACACTCTTGTTGTAGTAATCAAACATTGATAATAAGCTATGTCGAACAACAAACTAATTTTTGAACTAATGTAATGCTCACATAAAGTATCTTATAATTGTCACATGTTATTACCATATGTGTCTCTTGAAATCTGGTCAAATATTAACTTTCCTTTGGGTCCATTAATAAACATATGAATCACAAGAAACACATAATCATCTTGATATTCTAAATAAATCAGTCAACACAAAAATGTCACTTTGGTGACATTATATTTCAACAAATCTACTAAAATATCACACTTAGCCAAAATATAAATGAATTTGTTTCAATATATATATATATATATATATATATATATATTCTAATAACCAACAATCAAAATTGAAAAAACGAATTGAATATATACATATATTGCATTAACAA